GCAGATAAACAGGGCCGACGAAACCACATCTTCCATTGTGTCCCGTTCGTATAGATTTCGTCCCGGTTTGATCGAGGACCGCTGCGACCCGTGACTTGCCATGGAGGGCTTCTGGCGTTTGCGATTATTGGATTAGGATGCCCAAGAGGGGTGTCCCTATATTCGCGTCCAGTGGCGTCACTAGAGGTGGGGAGGGGGCGTTGACTTTAGTGACGCCACTGCTCGCATCACTGGCGCGGCAGAAACCGATGGAACAAGGCAGCGTGTATGGTACATGCACTTGGATAAGGGAGGGTGGCATAGCCTTTGTGCGACAAACAAGCATACGCTTTCAACATCGCTCTGTTATACGCTCGCGCTCAGAAACCGCCCCAGGATCTACAGCGGCCCGTTGTGGTCGCTGCGTGAGTGCTCAACGATAAAAATCTTATTGGTAATAGAGGTTCTAGCAAGATGTGTGGCATGTTTTGTAGGCTTTGAACCCAAGTAATTCCTTTGGCTGTGTTTACACTTCAATGAATGGGTGCTTAAGTTAGCATCTGTTATCACACCACTTTAACGTCCTTGTATACATTATGTAGGAGCACGATATATCTTGAACACGAACGTAAATTGAACACCTTATATATGCCTCTAGAGTTTTAGAACACAAAAAATGCATTAAAAATCATCTCCAGCCTTTTTGAATAGAACTGGTCTTTGAGGGTTTTGGTAACCAGATTAAACAAATCACTACTTAAAGAAAAGATCGGAAAGTAGCAAGGATAAACATTTCGGTAGGGAATTTCCGCGCTCCTTGGATTCCTATATTTGTTTTCATGCTAATTTGCTCTTTCCAATTACTAAGTGCCAGCAAAGAAATATTCATAAAGAAAAGATTCCCAAAGCTAAGAAAAAAAAAATGAAAGCCGTTTACAATTCCCTGTAACGCCGGTTAGAGCGCAGCTCTCGAGGAGGAAGATGGAAGCGTACTGAGGGATAGGTGACTCCTTGAGGTCACGTGACCTCGAGGGGGTCACGTGACTTCAGGGGGTCACGTGACCTCAGGGGCTCACGTGACCTCAGGGGCTCACGTGACCTTTGGGGGTCACGTGACTTTAGGGGTCACGTGACCTGAAGGGGGTCACGTGACAGGGGGTCACGTGACCTCAAGGGGGTCACGTGACTTCAGGGGGTCACGTGACCTCAGGGGGTCACGTGACTTCTGGGGGCACGTGACCTAGGGGTGTCACGTGACCTGGGTAGGTGACGTGACCGCGGGGGGGTCACGTGACCTCGCGGTTACGCCGACGGCGACGGCGACGCCGCTCAAGCCGGAAACGGGCCCCTAAGAGCTGCGCTCTAAAAAATAAACACCCCTCTTAAGGATAACTGTATGTAGCCTCATGATGTGATATGATTGGTTGATTGGTATCATGGCTCTTCCGAGCGTTCCTAGGGACTCTAGATCAAACAGGCACGGATCAGCAGGAGCAGCCCCGCAATGTATCTGTTGCATTATGCCGAGTCTCAACAACGGTGTAAACATTGCTTTTGATTGAGGATCATGCTACAACTTCTTTTTAGACGAAACAAGAGAGGGAGTTATGTTCAACAGTGCTTGGAACTCGGCTAGTTGGTTCCTCATGCTTCGAATAAACTGCGCTACAGCGAAGGATTACGAATAACGATACTGCGACTAGAAAGGCGACGCAGCCTACGCAAATAGGCGCAAGTCTTCGTGTTGTTATTTGTAATCCTTCTCAGTGTAATTTAATTTAAAAAAAAATGAAACAACGAGGGTTTAGATTTGCGTGCTTTGACAGTGCGTGAGTAAGTGTGTCGGAGGACCTCCCCATGTTACGGTTATTGCAAATAGGTATACCAGATGAAAAAAAAAAAGGTCTTGATATGACGGTTGTATGTAAAGTTTTGCTATACATATACTATAGTGGGGAAGCACGCAAGTGTCCGTTCGATTTCGAAACAGTTTGATTTTGAATGAACAGCGGTGCCATCAACCGAAACATTACGAGTTTAGATTTAATTACCAGATTCGTTTACATAAATTATTTACAAGGAAGACGTATGCACGATTACACTTGAGGCAGCGATTCTACGTCGCATAATAGTTTGATCCCTTTTCTACACGGTGAATTCAGAAAACAAACAAGGCAATGATGGCGTTTCAGTCTCAAGATTTTCTATGTAGAGCAAATAAACACAAGCCAGGATATTTATCTTCCTTCTTTGCTTACAGTCGATATTTTTTTATATTCGTACCAATCGCCGCACGTCCAATTGATCTATTTCGTGTACTAATTCATTCGCAATTAGCCTGGCCAGAGTTCCTCACTACAAGCGACGTTTTGGGTCAGCAACCCTCACGGACCACATTAATAAGCGATAGGTTCGTCATCTACAACTATGGGCCCATTTTATGGGTGCTTTTTGTTTCTTCTGGAAGATCTGCAAATTATTTGTTGTATTAAAATTGTGATTATACTTTAAAAAAAACGTCCATGGCGTCTTATGTTAACGTACTGATGGCCTCAAACGATTTGGATTGAACCTTAATTTGAATTTGCTAAAACTCTGATTAGAAGTACTTTCTTTTTTTCTTCGTGTGTCTATAGACGTCCGCAAGCAGCCACGCTTGAACAGGTAGAGTTCGGCCACGGTGGTTGGAAAATCCTTTGTTTGGACGCCAGTCTGGCAACGATGGGCACGCCTTAACAAAGCTTGACTAGCAGACAATCTACACACGCCAGCATTAAGATAGACCCTTTTCAAAAGTGCGCGCCGTCTAGTATAGTGGATGCGCGAGCCTGCATGCCATTGTTTGGGCATGTACTCTGGGCGTGATGCGGGACACGAGGGCTGCGTAAGTGGTCGGCGTAAACTCGGGCTCAGCTCGTGTCAAAAACGACCGCTACGTCAGCGCTCGGCGTGGACTCGGGTCCAATCAGACGCTTGGTGTCCAAGAAATGGCGGTCGTCAATGTCGCTCGATTGGGGTTTTGAGAAGGGTCTGTTACCATTTCTATCCGTTTCGAAATCGAATGAACGCCGTGTGCCGTAATATACGTGCTCTAGGTAACTCCTATTCGCTACCCCTTTATGTCTGAGTCTCGCAGTACGCCCAGTGTCCGAGTATAAGGCCCCTTCGCGACTGTCTTCTCCGTCAGACATCTCCTGGTCCGCCAGCTACTGTCAGTAGCGCTGCATCAAAAGAGCCTTCAGTTCCCCGTAACTTTCCGATGCAAATGTTACAGGCTTCGCGTTCAGTGAGCGTGACACAAGACTGTTTTCCCAGCAGTGTGCTCCCTTTACTCCCTAGATGATCAGTCCTGGGACAACAGCCAAGTCGGTCCATTCGGTCGCCGACGAACGCAGACAAAAATAAGCGTTCTCTGCAGTGGTGAGCACTGTGCAGGCTCGTTCACACACTTGCCCTTGCTTAGGACCGAGTTCGTGCAAAACCTTACCCGAAAACAACAACTACAAAAAACTACTCTGGGACTTTGGTGGCATCTATAGAGTGGCCCCGGAACTGAATTTCACTGGAGCCAAGGTTTATGCACAATTTTCGAGATTAAATGTACGTACCATTTATAAGAAAGGGTCGTGTATAAAATTGTCAGAGAAAAAAAATCGCGAAAAAATAGAGTACATTTGTGGTAACTACAAGTGCTCCACGGTAACCTGATAGATGGCGCCAGTGTGTTTTCTCGTCGTACGAGAATTTAAAAAGTTTTGAGGTACACGGTAGTAAGCAGTCGCACGTGTGTGAACCAGCCTTTACACGGAGCGCGAGGACGCTTGTCACGTGACGCTGGACGAGGCCTTCTGCTAGAGTCACTGAAACGCAGGGCGCTGCTTATGGCGTTCACGCTTCTCGCTGCGCGATTGGTTCCTTGGCGTTCTTGTCTGCTAATGCTGCAACCCGATTGGCTTCCAAGCGATAATGAGATGCTCGGGACTACAGTGACTATGCGAAGCGCAAGTTCGTCGGCTTCTTGCGCAGGGGTTGCGGTAATGTCTGAACACTTATTGACTCATTAAAAAAAAAATAGTGGGTATACTTTAAGGCATCTAGGGTTAAGGTCTACACACTATTTTTTTGAAACCAGAGCCAATCAGAACTCGACGTCGTTGTGATGTCGCCGCAACCGCTGCGCAAGAAGCATACGACGTGCTCTACGCACAGGGTAAACCGCAAGGTGGGCCGACCACCTCGGTCAACGGGATCTTTTAGATTCATCTATCGTCAGTCCGAGCGCCGCCGATACTGCGAGTTGCTACCGTCGGTGGCCAATTAAAGTCCCTCTATACGGAAAAGTAACGACATCCCCTGAGGAATGTCGCCTGCTCGTCTTGGGGTATTTAAAATGATGTGCGAGAGCAGAAGCTTTAGCCAATCAAGCAGCGCACCGAAAGAGCAACGTCGTGGTGTTCGACCATTTTCTTGGCGGCTAATCATATCAAGCACGCATCGTGCGACGTCACCTCGCGCTTGTGGTCTGCGTTCGAGCCACTAAGTGAGCTACACTTAGAGTATCAGTACTCCGTTCTCCGATCTGCTAGTGGGCGCCGCTATCTTGGTTCTTTGTGCAGAGCTGACGCAAGTGTCAATTAAAAAATGCGGCTTCCTCAGCTTTAGGTTGGGTGTTAGGAAGCTCATGTGATATCGTTTGGCTGTTATCGCAAACTGTTTTAACATGTCTGGAAGGCGGAAAAGCGCTTCCTTCGATTTCAGATAAAGCTTCAGATAATTGGCCACTACGATTTTAAGCACCAAGATGGCTGGAGTGTTGTTAGTCTAAAGCGTAGCATAATTTGTGGCTCTAGTCTGTTTGTACCACCCTCTGGCTCCTTTACACGTATGTTTTTTTAATTCTGTGTGTGTGTGTGGAAAGGGGGGGGGGGGAGGGGCGAGGGGGACGACGGGGCGACTTGTCGACAAGCACGCCAAACCACGAGGCTCATTCCTTGCGCAGCCCTTTGGAAGAACGTGATGGCGCAGCATTGACTGAAGCTATGCAAGACGCCATGCTGTGTTTTCAACTCGCTCCTGACATGTGTCTCGCGCGTTGAGACAAGGATGATTGTCGATGTAACTATGCTAGTCCTGTGCGTTTCTCTGTACATTGAATCTTACCCTTTGAGGCAAGGCAATCCGCAAAGATGAAGACAGGCCTGCGACTGGAGAGTGTACGCCACCAATGTGTTGTCGTATCCTTGAAGCATAGAATATCTTTTATTAAGGCTTTTGACCGACGGAACTCCGAATAAATAACTTCTGCGACGTTCTGAAACCTCTTCCCTTCTGTAAGTGTGTACCAAGGTGAAGGCGCGATGCTATTTGATGTGCGAGTTGAATCCTCTTGACCGACTCACAACGGGCGTGTTTGCCCAGAAGAAGAGCAGGTGCGCTGCTTTGAGAAGAGCAAAGCATTTTCACACGCGTCGATGGCGTGATGTCAGAAGCATGAGTTGGTGAATATACGTTCACGCAAAGATCACGCTCTGCACAATCAATGTATTCAGTGTACAAGGAAGGTATTGGAAGCTGGTAGGGACGTTTGGAAAGGGGTAAGCGATTTTGTGATATGTTGCCTTATAATGTTTCTTTTCTGTGCTCCAGAAGCCTCTGTTGCTACTTAGGTGATCGAAATTTTGCTACGGACCTAAAAGCTAAACCAATGAAGGGTATGGAGCATACCGCTGTAAAGGACTGAAGATTAATTTAGAGTGCCGTTGGTTTTAACGTGCAGACGAAATACCAGTTATGTGGCGGTTCACCGCAAAAGCTCCTTTAGGTCTCGGGGCACTGCACATGTCCCGGCCAGGCCCGGCTCATCAATTCAGTGTTTCCGTCCTGAACAGCAGAACAAGGACCAGAAAAAATAGCGCCGATCGAGGCACCTTATTATTATAGATTTCCAGCTACCTCGCGGTTCGTAAAAGTATGCATCGACTCCAACGTCAAGTGAGAAACGTTGTCCCGCTCAGGATGAACGTTTTGACCGTACCCTTCAGTCTACCCAGTGACTTCCTTTGTTATGAAAGCATTGCAGCTGTCCTCAAGAGTGCTCCAAAACGTCTGTTCCACGATGGACACACGTCCATAGTCGCCACCAAACAAAATTGGTGTTTTTTTCTGTTTTTTGGTGGTGCATTCGTAACGTCTTACTATGGAAGAGATGCTCATCGAGCCTTTCTCGTAGGCACGACAAAGAACAACCAGCCCATCCGCGGTCGCTATTCAGTGTTATCACCTGTCCCGTAGACGCGGTTGTTTATAGCCGGTTGCTGACGAACAGTCTCAGAAGTCCGACAGTTCATACTGCACTAAGATGCACACTTAACAACAACCATAAGTATTTATTGATTAATTTGAACCACCGAGAGGCGCAATCAGCATCATCCTTGGACTCCATGATCGACTGCATTTTTGTCCCCGAGATGACATGAGAATCGGATCGCGAAGCTCTGACGTTTTGTAGCTGAACTGATTAAAGAGTTACCAGATTGATGTTCAGAGTGCTTCTCGGGGCAGCATAAACGCCATCTCGAAAAATCAAAAGCCGTGCACTATAGAATTCTGAATGTCATCACAGTTAGATCAAGGGCAGACTCCAACTGGACACGAGCGTCGTGTAAGCGTTTGGTTGTGGCCTCGTCGTTCCACCAGTGCCCCGAGGGACGTTCGGTGTGTCAGGATAAGGCCCAGTTGTTGAGTTGGCGCCATTCTATACTGCGATGGAATTCTATGGAGGCGCAAAGAAGCTTCGATAATTCTGGCTGGCGTAGATAAGTACGCACGCGGGGTGACTTCTGAGAGTGTGGACACCTCGCAGAGTCTGCGATCACGGACTTCCTGATATGTTTCCGAGTACGCGGTTCGTTGAAAGTTCGCTCAGTGGGACCCGGTTTCTGTCGATCATAGGTGAGCTTGAGAAGATGTACACCGCAGGCACTCCTGCCACCCGGAAGGCACCCATGCGACACGCGGCAGGCCGCGTGCCTTTGGGGAGGACACCCACGTCATATGTCCATCACATGGTGTACTGCGGAGGAGGACCCATTCTGGAGGCGTTGCTCTGCTACAAATGCATCACTTCCTGCAGGTCCTTGTTCACTGCGAAGAAGAAAACGACAGCGCAAGTTATCGACAGCCCACCTGTATGCAATGCCACCCTGCCCCCGCAATGGCACAAAAAAAAGAAAATGTCTTTCTTTTGTTATTGAGACTTCATGGTCAAACGAAGCATAAGCTGGTGTTCCGAGTACATTGCCGTGCGGCGTATACCCAGGGACTCCCTAGAGCGCTGTACGAAGTACTATTAGGCATTAGGTAAAACAAGACGAGGGCTGCCCCCGGAGGCAAGCGGGCCTTCGTTGTGCACGGCTCCTTTGCGAGAAGGAAGTAATATGACGCGACTTTCTGTCGAACCATCAGGTTCAACGGTTTCGACGATCATCCGACCTTTAGGCAAAGTTGGACCAAGTTCGGTTTTAGATTAGTGCTGCTGGACTTCTACACAGACACATCGGGCATTTGAGGAAAATAATCTATACAGTAGTTTGTTTTATAATTTAAACATCACAGGCGAGAACACAATATTTAAATTATTTAGTTAGTTGGACCAATTGAAGCGATATTCCAGTTAAATATTAAACCTTAGGGGTTTCTCAAGATTAACATTTCATGACTAAAACGTACCCGGTAATTTACGTTCATATTATAAGATTGTCTAACTTCATCGCAACAATTTACAAAAAGAAACAACAGCAAAAACAACAGCAACAACAACAACACAAACACACACAGATCCGTATAAACGTTGTACTATACGATCGGGTAAGTGTATTCTCTCTATTTCTAAAGCTCCGGTGATCAAGTTCAAATAAATCAGGGATGGGCAGTATTTCAAATACAAGTATTTGAAATATGTATTTCAAACACTTTGTGTATTTTGCATTTGTATTTAATTACAAACTGGGTAATGTATTTGATGTGCGTATTTAAATACTAAAACGCGGGTATTTCAAATACAATTGTAATTAAATACAATTTTGTGGGCGAAAATACATCTTGTTTTTATGCATGTGGTTGTAAGATATAGTCACCATCCTTTATTCGGCCATGGCGCTTTTTTCTTTTTCTCCTCCGGCTTTATTTTAAAAGCACTGTCCAGAGCAGGAAGAAAACTACGTTCTGCACCGAATGCAGTGTCTCTCAATCAAGCACAAGCGTTTAGTGACTTTGTGATTACGGTGCTAGTCCAGGGCAAGAATAGTGACAAAATCGACGTTCTCAGGCAGACTGGCTAAATAAGTGCCTGTGACAACTTGTGACGCTTTCCAGCCTGATTTCCATCCATACTTTTGCCTGGAACATTCTAAATGCGCGGGTCGTCCAGATTTTCGTAACTGGTGCGAGTTGCAACAATAAAAAATGCTCTAGCTAGTGCTGCGCGTCCTGGTCGTCTCGGTTCTTTGTTGGTCTATACCAAAATGTAATCGACAAAAAAAGCTGCTTGAAGCTCTGTACTTTTTTCACCTATTACGTCCAAGCTGATTACATTTTTTTTGTGATTGTATTTCTAGTACGTTACTAGAGCCTCGCACACTAACTCCCGAGTGTGCGATGCAAAATTAAAATGAGATACGCAGAAACCCGTTGCAGATGCCCTGAAGTTGCTGACGCAGATTTTGAGGAATGTATTTGGAAAAGTATTTGGAGGGGACCAAATACATTTGGTTGTATTTGTATCTTGTACTTAAATGCCTTTTTTTTGTAAATGTATTTAAATTTGTAGTTAAATACATTTTTGGCGAGGGATTCTGTATTTGAATTTCGATACATATTTGCATGTATTTTGCCCATCCCTGAAATAAATAACGCAGTAGATAAACTATAACTGAACTAACGAGAAAAAAAAGTCTGGAAGAAAGAGAGAGAGAGAAAAATGTAGGAATTAACGAAGAGTTTGAAACGATTAGGTTTTACTGAATACACTGAGCTGTAAACCCACCTTCTCTCACTGTCCCACTATATCGAGAAAAAAACATTTTTTTTTTGTTTCTACAATTAATACTTGATTTTATAAATGAAACAAAAACCCAAAACATCAAATAACCGACGTTCACAACAGGGACGCGGAAGCAATCCAGACGCAGCCCGTTTTGTTTCGTGCACAAAGCAAATCCTTTACTAGCTCTTTTTTTTTTTTAGTTTTGTCATAATAGCGTTTTTTCTCTGTGCTTCTTCTCCAACAGGCCATCATATATAACGAGTCTCTAGAGCTTGCGTGATTAATTTCGTGGAAGGACGTCATTTCTTTCTGCCCTATCGCGAGCACGCAAGCCCTATGATTGTTGCCAGACTATACCGCATTCCGCGAGCACCCGCTTGAACTCGAAGGTCGAGATAATCGGGCCTTCTGATTGGCCAATGTAAAATATTCTGAAGCCACGAAAGAAATAAAAATAAAATATCGAAAAAGATACGTAAAAAGTTAACTCATAAGAGGGATGAGCATGTGCGTTCTCGCCGGGGCTTTCAATCAGATATGGCTCCTAATCTATAGTCTGTTGTAGGTTAAGAATAGCAGAAAGCCCCTCTCCCACAGCCCCTTGCTCGCTATGTTTGGTGGTTTCATTCTCTCCAGGGTTTGCACCGCTAATGTGGAAAGAGTGGATGACTTCGAACGAAGCTTCGGAAGATCGATACTCCAAAACGCTGAATACAACTTTTTTTCCTGACGCGTGGCCTAATTTATTTTCAGATCTGGGCAAAGCTATGTATATAGAAATAAAAATCGGGTAATTTCTCATATTTTACGTGTTCTCTAAAGAGAGAATAATCTAAATATGCGACGATTGAACTATTTGATGAGTACAATTCATTCACCTGCATATAAAACCCTATAGAAATGAAAGCCGTTTACAAATCCCTGTTAACGCCGAATTGGAGCGCAGCTCTTGAGGAGGAGTAGGGGAGGGTACTGAGGGGGTCACGTGACCTGCGGGTAGTCACGTGATCTGGGGGGGAATCACGTGATCTCGCCCCCCCCCCCCCCCCTCCCGGTTACGCCGACTCCGACGCCGCTCAGGCTGGAAACAGGCCCCTAAGAGCTGCGCTCTAAAACCGATATATAGTAAACCTGATGTATCGTACTGTAAAATAACTTGTTGTTGGGCTAGTTGGTGTTGACTTTATTGAATTATGTATCGTGCAGACCCTTCGAACGAACCCAGCCTATGTAATCCCCCCCCCCCCCCTCCCCCTGTTCAACTTCCCGTTGACGTGTTCCGCGATCCCCGTCTTACTGTTGTAGGCTTTAGCCAGCAGGTGGCGCGAGCCTTCGCGTTTCTCGTTCATTTAGCCAACGTTGCGACTACGAAAGGGAAAGAATAAAGCAGGCACATAGCGAGGGGTGGGGGGGGGGGGGGGGGGGGGCATGGGGCCGGGCCCCCCCTGAAATCTTCCATTCCCCCCCCCCCCCCCCCCCTTGAAACAAAATCCTGGTTACGTGCTCGAAATAAAGTAAAGAAGCTGAGACAGCAGTCGTCGTTGTATCAGCTCTCTGTCGCCACTTCATACCCCCGTGCGGACTACGGCGGGGGCTACGTGCCCGCCGTAGTCTCGGCTTAAAGTATCGCCTGTGTTCGTGACGATATCTTCCCGCCGTTTGCAACACGCGGCTCGGCCCAAACACTGCCGTCACCCGAGCGACGGCGCTCTTGGCCATTTGATGTCACTGCGCTGGCTGCGCTCTCCGCAAGACAAACAAATGTCCGATGGCGTGACTGCTCTGGGTCAACAACTCGCAAAAATTAAAGAAAAAATCAACGAGCGACGAGTGCGATCGAAAACGTCGCTGTGGTCGCCCTTCCACGATTGGCCGAATACTGGCTATGACGTCGGCAAAGATTCTCTCTTGGACGAAAATGAGAGGAATGAACTTCAATTTTGGCGGTGTTGGCTCTGTCTTGGTTTCGAAACGGAATGAATTCAAGCTTCCACCATGCTTATTACAAACGCCGCCGAACTTGTTCGCGAGGTAATGACGTCAAGAGAGGGAACCATAGGAGGGCGCCACCAAAACATCTCGCCGCTAAAAGGGAGTATTCACTGGACGCCATATCTGTGGGTGCTGTTTAGTGTGCATGCTCAGAACGAGCTCACATCAATAGGTACACCAGGCACGTACCGGGGGGGGGGGGGGGGGGCATGGGGCCCGGCCCTTCCCCCCCCCCCCCCCCCGAAATCTTCCGTTTCGCTGGGACCTCCTCTCCCCCCCTCCCCCTCATACAGAATTTTGTCATGGGCACCCCCCCCCCCCTCCCCCCGAAACCAAATTCTGGATACGTGCCTGGCTTAGTACAATTTTTTATTTTCAAAAATTTTCAAGATGATTTATTTTTGATTAAGTAAGGCTGCTTCAGTAGAACATTTATTTCTGAAACCTAATTGAGAAGAGGTAATAATATCATATTTATTTGAAAATGTTTACTAAACTGTGATCAATTAATTTCTTTAAGGCTTTAGAAAAAACGGGCAATATAGAAATAGAGCTGTAAGTGCCTCGCTCACTCTTATCACCTTTTTTGCACGAAACAGAAACGTTCCTATTTACATTCGTCTAGGATGATACACCCGCTCCAAAAGAGAGATTAAATATGTGCTTTAAAACTAGAGCGATTATGTCGATGACATATTCAATTGGACGAAATTGTATACCATCAGCATCACAACATGCGCCATTCTTTAGTTGCATTACCATATTACTGGCTTCTGAGCTCATAATTGGCTCTAGAAAAAAGGTATTGCAGTTTCTCCTGTGAATATATCTGCAAAAGTCAGAACCATCAACACTGCCAGCTAGATTTACAAAATGGATATTAAACAATTTGCCAAGTTTTAACCAGTTAAATAAACACCTTTATGCAGCAACGTTTCAATGGCATTTGATACAAGAACACCCTTAACCAGCAAACCTAGGTGCTTCCACATAATATCTGTGCGACCATTTGCTGCAGAAACGAGAGGAATAGTAACTTTTTAGGGGACAAGCTCTATACAGGAGAGGGCCCTGCGGTCAAATACGTATATAATCGCGTTAAACTTTGCAGGCATTGGCTAATGAAGTTGAAACGCAACCCGGAAACCAACACTACCAATAAACAAAAAAAAAAAAAAAAAAAAAATCAGCACTATCAGCATTACTTATGAACAAAATCAGTATCATCAACACCACCAGAGCTTCGCCCCAATCAACGGGTCATTTTTTTTTGTGCATTCTTTATTACTTTATTTAAGTTATTTCGATTTTCCTTGCTTTTTTGACAGCCTCGCTTTTTCGGCAGCGTCCATGCGTTTTCCCAGCTCTTTAATCTCTTTGTCATGCGGAACTTGGTTTTTGAGGACGTCGTCATACTTGACAAACACCTCTTGAGTTTTCCTTCTTTTTTTTTTTCTTGATGTCGTCAAAGTTTGTTTTTTGGGGTTCGAGGATGGTCAGCTTACGGTTTAATTGCGCAAGTAAACTCGCTACATTAAGATCAGGTTTATTTCTTCCTGTATGCCCCCCGTCCCCCTGTGATTTTCCTGTTTGCAGCGTGCGCACGGCCAAGAGGTCTTGCAACCGTCCCTTTTAGATTTATACGTTGTCTCGGTTACACCAGAGCAATCGCCCAAGTGGTACAAACAGTCGCATTCTGAACACGTCAAGGAATTTTCATCGCTGTCGACCTCGCTGCGACATTTTGAGCAAACAAAATCACCTACGTCCGACATCGTCGAGAAGCAAAACAAAGCGAGTAACGATTAAAAATAAACTGATGTTTATGGAATTACTTCCCTACCGCACGGGAGCCTAGACGCCTGCACTTAGGGAGAACGATCTCCCTCCTTCCATCCACACTTCGATGGCGCCGTTGACCGTCCAAGATTGACCGGCGACACCGTGACCAAGGACGCCTGGCCCATCGCTGTGCGTGACGCGAGTGACAGTGTGTGAGGGAGGAGGGAGAAGCGTGCCTTGACTTTAGGAACAATGGCTCCACCGTTTTGGCCAAGGGATTGACCATGGGGATTCCCTGCTGGGGATATAGGGAAATGCGACGCTATAAATGGAGCAGCAGTCGACTGCTAGAGTGTGCTCTCAAGTTGAACCTGTCAATATGTAAATAAACAGAGTTTTTCAAGACACCCCTCCTGCTCCCTTATCCTCCCCAATTCCTGCTTCCTGATGAGGTCCTTGCGTACTCCCGGACAACCGCTCGGTATCAACAGTAACTAGAGGAGATCCGAAGGCCTGCAGCTTTCCGGTAGCAGTCGCCAACACCCAGAAAAAATACGAAACTGAAAGTAACACAGGCAATACGTTAGCCGACTGTGTACTATTGACGCCGCTGCCGCTGGCAAAGGGACGTTCTGTGCCTCCGAACAGCTCTTCTAACCCAGGCGATGGAGCCGCTGGCGACGCTTTGAAAGATGATTGGTGGGTCGCATAGGGCGACAACGGTGAGTGATCTGTGAGGGTGACTTGCCACGATGAGTGACAAGAATAGATCCGAAGGCCTGCAGCTTTCCGGTAGCAGTCCTTAACACTAAGAAAAAGTAAGAAACTGAAAGTAGCACAGGCAATACGTTAGCCGACTGTGTACTACTGACGCCGCTGCCGCTGGCGAAGGGATGGTCTGTGTCTCCGAACAGCTCTTCTTAACGCAGGCGATGGAGCCGCTGGCGACGCTTTGAAAGATGATTGGTGGGTGGCATAGGGCGATAACGGTGAGTGATCTGTGAGGGCGACTTGCCACGATGAGTAGCAAGAACAGATTCGAAGGCCTGCAGCTTTCCGGTAGCAGTCACCAACACCCAGAAAAAGTATGAAACTGAAAGTAACACAGGAAATACGTTAGCCGACTGTGTACTACTGACGCCGCTGCCGCTGCCAAAGTGACCATATAATACGGCCATATAATACGGCGTCATATTCACCGCCGCATTATACGCCGCGAAAGTATATGTCGTTTATCGGCTGTCCTCATCAGCGCCGCAACTGATGACGGAGTCGAAGCGAGTGCGGAAGCGGTCGATAACGACTCGTGGGCATTTTCGGGTGCATTATCGCGGCGGAACGCGTACTCTCCATCAGCAAAGATTCGAAGGGAAAGAACCGTCTGGAAGAGTCACGATTCTACTTCCAAAATATTATCAGCGTAATCGAGCTTTGATTGTTTCTATTCTAGTTTCCATGGCGGCGAGCTTTCGTATGCTTGCCCACGTCAGATATCGCGGTGTACACCCGCACGCAATGTGAGCGAGGACACTCGCTCTGACCTTTTTGTTCAATGACGATATAGTACATGCTGCAGGCCTAGTCGACTGATGCTCGAAAGAAAGCAAAGGTATACGCGATTCGAATTGACGTGACGTCAGGGGCCATTGTGGTCCAGTGCTGCCAACCTTAGGGATTTCCCCCTAGATCTAGGGATTTCCGTTATCGTTGAGGAGCAAAGGGAAAACATCTTGGGAAGAAACAGCGGCAAAGAAACTTGGACAAGGGTAAAGGAACAAACACCTCGAACCAACTAGCCCAACACGTCAAATTGAAGTAATGGGAAATTTGTTCAAATCTAGGGATTGTTTTTAATGGGTTTCAGAGGGCTTTAGAAACACGTTCCTTCCCATTTTCCTCCTCGTGTCGCTCGAGTGCAGCAGGAAAAAGGCTTCTTAGAATATTGTCAGGGCCAGAGAAAATCTCCAGTGGTAACAATAGCAATTTTAGGGGACCACGCAAGGCCAAAACAACAACGTTTAATTATGTAAAAAGGTATTAACGAAGCAAATTTAACCTTTAAATGGCCACCCTACTACAGGAATCTATTCCTAACGATAATCTCAGTATTGACGCAAATCAATATATTTTCTGAAAATCTAGGGAATTTTCCGATAAAGTTCGGGGAAGAAACGACGGCGGAGGTTGGCAACACTGGGTGGCCTCGCTGCTGACTGCAGTGTATAGGTACATTTTGCATCAACGTATTTTCTCTCCTCGACAAGAACAGGTAGGAGTGACCACCAGCATGGCACGAAGATGTCACGTGCAAGCCATGCATTGAGGACGACTGCAGGGTGGGGGCGCTGCATACCGGAGACGTTGACGAAGGTGATGCCCCACATGATGCTCCAGACCCAGCCGACGACGAAGGGCGCCGTCAGCGTCTGCAGCAGGGCTGCCAGCAGGTTGTAGCCCGCGGCCCGCCACCTGCTCCCGTGCTCCGTGCGACAGCCGCACAGCGCCGCCACCGTCGTCAGCAGCGTCCCTAGACACGACACAAGTCCTCATCAATATGATGGTTACTCATGACGCAACGCTTTTAGAGTGAACATTTTTTGCGTATCACTGGGGCTTATATTTATCCACCTGCCGATGCGGCTGGTGAAGTCCGCGACCAGAAGAGCCACTGCGATCGGCCTTTCTCGAGAGGTCCACAACTTATCTTGTCTGCTTTCATCGAATAAAACAAAGGCAAGCTCAAAACGCCACAGGGTTCCTCTTGAGCACGCCATAACAATAGGCTTTCACCCAACGCTACCTATAGATATGCTTCGCACTGTAATGGCTAACACGCTGTTGACAAACAAGCCCGCGTTTGCCAACACCATGGGTATGGGCGCTGCATGTGAGCAGAAATAAGATTCGCGCGAGAGGAAGCGTCTGCGCATGCGCAGTACCGACAGGAGCGCCACCGTAGCGGCTTGACTTCATAGAGTTGAGTTGGTGCGTACCCTCAGTAAACGTTACGCGATCTATCACAACACCGTTGTCTATATGCGGAACACAAGGTCGCCTGCTTCTTTTACAGGGGTTGTGGTGACGTCAGAAAGATGCCGAGCTCTGAGTGGCTCTGATTGAAGGATAGTGGGTAGACCTCGAGGCAGCCTGCTTTGAGGTCGACCCACTATCCTTCAATCAGGGCCAATCGGAGCTCAGCGTCTTTCTGACGTCACAACAACCCCTGCAAAAGAAGCAGACGAACTTGCCCTCCGTATAGTCACCGCGCAAACAAGCTCACGCAAATTCATATACAGCGTCTTATAATCGCTCTCCGGCCAATGAATTTGTGGCGTATTAGCCAAAAAGAACATCGAGAAACGATTCACGAAGCAAGAAGTGTGAATGCAATAAATCACGCACTGGGCTTCTTAGGCCTGCCGCTGAATGTACTGATAATTTTGAGGGAGGAAGCGAAGGAACGGCCGCGCTGCCCGTTATTGTATCCTATATCATGACGTCATCGGGGAGAGTAAGCGAGCCTTGTTAGCATCTGTGGCGTGGTTCCCAGCGCGCTTCTGAAAGTCACCGTCGGCTGTGCCTTCCACGACTACTCAAAGATTTGTGGTCACATTGAGACTTTGAACGGAAGCTATACTGGTTTTCACCTCAAGAACCGTAGTAAAACAAAGGCCGGCTCCTCGCGTAGCATTACTAATTTTCCCCTTTATGTAGATAATTAAGATATGTGTATATGGATTTTAGATTAGATAAATGTTACTTTATCAAGACGTACACGCTTCAAACGCCAAAAGCAGCGCTTCTTCCTCCGACAACCGAATTTCGTAAGAACTACTTCGCGCCGCGTATGAACAATGCGCAAAACTTCCTTTTTTCTTGAGGTGAAAGCACGTATTAATAGTAAAAACATATTTTGAAGGTAGAATGAGATAAATACTGCGGAACGATGGGCGAGAAGACTTATCTATTTGTGTAATGAATGCGTTTTTCTTGCATAAAGTAGGCGTACTTATTTTGTTCATGACCCACTCCGAGCCCACTCAAGTCCTAAACTCCTCGCTTACGTCTCGAAGGAGGCTAATCTGCGAGTCGACGCCGTTCACCTTTCGCTGTTCAACGCTCCGCTCGACGTAAGATAAACCATATTTCCACACAGGCGGCTTCTTCACCAACTAGTGCGACCACAGCCCTCCTCATCAGAGAGATGTATAATATGCGCACGTGAAGCGAGGATCCTGCAGCGCCTCTTTAATCTTCTTCTTATCACGCGCAATCTGCACCACGCAGCCGTTGGGGGTCCTCACTCGCGAGCCCATGCCGCGCTTCTCAATTAGGGCTTCCTAATTAATTAAAGCCGCTTCCGCAGCTGAGGCACGCGCGGCCCCTGCCGGTTGGCGTTAGAGTGTATACGTGGAGTTTTGTCCAGGGATTCAAGGAGACGTGGAGTGCGGAGAAGAAAAGCTCGCTGTAAGGCCATCGGTATATACGGCGTCCTTCGCGTTGCAGACACGACGCGAGAATCGTCTGCGGACAGCACGCTCAAGCATGTTCGAAGCCTGCGTGCTTCACACATGCTTCGAACATGCATCTGCAGGAAGTTTTCTTTTGTGTCTGACCAATGTGCCGGCCATACAGGGCCCGTCATGCGACGAAGGAACACGCTGCTTACATCGTCGACCTGCAAACTGTCTGTTGTATGATGTAGTAGTTATGCGACCGCGCATCGACAGGAGACGTGAAGAAACCGGGAATTTCGTTCCCTCTCCCCTCCCCCTACTTCACGGCACCTCGGCCTTCTCTTCGTGGCTTCCACCTCGTTCCTTTTCACCCTGCCAGCCGCCGGCCGCGTCTCGGGCCACCCAGCCGCGCACGCGGTGTTCCGCCGCGGCCAACGGTTGATGACGTCATCGGTGACGTCACTCGCGACCGCCAATCAGCGGTTAGACCATATTCCTCCTCCCAGACGCGCGTGCATGGTGTTGGGCCGACAGTCGCTGCGGGCGTATTAGTGGAATAGCATTATCGTTTTCGTGGTTTCTTTATCGGTGTCGGTGTTTTGTCATGTTTTGTGGTTGATGATGTCGCGATGAAATAATGCAATTTTGTGTGCGCCGCGATGTCCGACCGGTAACCCGGAGGAAGACCGTACGGCAGCTGCGCGCGAAAGAAATGCTCGTGTTGGCCCTCGGGCGTCTGAACGTGTACGCTTACATAAGTGAGGGCTCCTTCGGGAATGAGTGGTGTACGTGCGTTGGCAAGCGAGGCATGCACGTCCGTTCTATATACTAAGGGGCGGACTTTGCTGGATCAAGCGCTCACGCTAAGTATGCAACTCGGCGAGATATTAGAAGCTCGCTCTTATAGTGCGCGTCACGTCTCGAAATACTCGACGGGAAGGCCTGTCAGTCTCACTTTGTCTTGATGCGTCACGTTCACACTCGCAACGCGAGACGCTGCGAAATCGGCACAGGTGATAACAGGTACTCCCTTTCGGTAGGTGACCAGAAGTTACCCGAGTGGCGCCCCCTGTGCTCCGTAATATTAACTCCGAGCGAAAGTGAGAGACAAATAAAGCCTGGTTTCATTTGGTGCAATATGTGTTTCAGTGGACGGAGGGCACCTGTGTTTCGGAGCATCTCTCAGGTGGTGCCACAATCGATGACAAGCACGCAGGCAGCACCGAGCGGATCTGCTTCTGCGCTCACCCTCACGTCAGCTGTACGAATAAAGTAATACGGCTAGACCCTTCTAATTGGGCGGCGGCTTGCACGAACAGTTATCGGAAATGCGCATTTATAATTTACATATAAGAGGTCTTAAACTTTCATTTAACGCAGATTTATTACAGAAAAAAAAAAAGTCCATAAAAGGTACACTTATGTCGTTTGTTGAGGTGAGTGTGTGCGCATTTCTGTATAACTGCTGGCATCGTTCGCCACGCCCGGGCGGTGGCGGTTCAAATTGTTAAAAAGTAAGTACCCATTCGTTTATTATTTTTTTTAACCACTGAATTGCATTACCACCTTCACCCACCGAAAGGACGAAATCAATCAACCCAACGCGAGATCTCGTAGCCTTGGACCACACGGAACGACTCCCGAAGCCAGTATAAGCGTCTTCGCTTTGCAGCGGTACATCTCTCCGACACTTGACAATGGAAACTCTATTGGCGATGCAGTAGGAAGGCCCGAAAACACCCGAATAATGCACATAGCCGACGACGTCTCTTAACTCAGAACCTTGTGTATTACCAAACCAAAACACTTAAAAAAAATTAAAAAAAAGAATGAGCCGCAGACTCGAGCACCTCCTTGCACCTCATTTGGATTCCCCAAAAGGGGAAGAGCTGAGACATTGATGAATCCCTATGGGAACGTTCCCTTCCTTATTTTGTTTCCATGTCTAACTGAAAAAAAAAAAGAAGAAAAAAGCAGGTTCGACGTTGACAGTTTCGACTACGTCTCTGAAGTTTAAACCGATTCCGAAGCCTAGGAAGTGTCGGATCCTTTCAGCAATTCAATGAAGCCCCATTTCCCATCCCCAGTGTCCCGAGAAATAGAGTATAGTAGAATGTGGCGGGCGGCTTCGACCAATCGACCAGTGCTAACCCCTCCTATACCCGTTCTCACCTCAGGAACCGAAGTAAAAAACGTTCGGCTCGCAGCGGGCCATTACTGATTTCTCCCTTTATGTACGTAATTGAGATATATGTAGGTGAAGCTTAGATTAGATATCTGTTATCTTATCATGACGTACATGTTCCAAACGCCAAAAGCATCGCTTGTTCCTCCAGTAAGCTAAAGTGAAACACCTGATCAATAGAAAATAGTTTCTGTTCTTACTCGTTGAGGTATTTTTATTCCTGAAGCTAAAATTCCAGAAAATCCATGTCTATTACGTCATCACGTTTTTGTGGAAATACATAGAACGCCAAACACGTGCACAAAAAAACGGCCACCTCGTCATGCTGTGCTTTCTTCGACGTCTGGATTGCTTCGGTGGGGTTTTGTCGCACACCACGTTACCCATTTATCGGGCTATCACCGCCTAATATTACTTTTGGCGGTGTTCATGGGCCTCGTTAGGAGCCTACACAAGCAAAAGAAATCCTCCTTTTTGCGTTCCCGAAGTTGGCCGCCAGGGCGGCGACGCCGTAGCGGGGACTTGCGAATCATACGGGGCAATACTACGGCATCATGAAGCACCTTTTGAAATGGCGATGATTTGCCTACTATACTTTCGGAGGCGTGGAAGCGATTGGTGTAGAATAGCTAGCCTCGTAACCGGTGCCTCCGCGTGTCGTTCGGAATCCGTTTTCGTGCTTTTTGCGGACGGAGGCATTCACTAATGCGCAGGTGGTAATAACCCCTAAATCAAGGGACCAAAATATTATTTTGCCGGGGCTTTTTTCAAGAATAGCTCCTCGAGTGATGCTTCATCAAAAGCCTGCGGCTACCTTAGTTGAAGAGATGGACTGAGTATTTGGAGTAACTCCAGTTTGAGCAGCGAAATGTACGAGGGACGAAC